GGGAGCCCCGAGCGCGGAGCGGAGATTCGTATCGCCCAGCTGAGGACAAGGAGGAATAAACCCGAGCTGATCCACTTCCATCCCACGAGAGCGTTCCTGGGAGGGTAATTATTTCTTGTTCTTGTTGTGTTATTCCCTTGGCGGAGCAAGTTTTGGAGGCGCGTGAAAGTTCGCTGTGAAGTGGTGGGTGCTTTGTGCGTCTGCCATGCTGGGAGGACGGGATCGCTGCTGGAGGCTCCCGGCCGCCACACCCCGTCTTTGGGTTTTTTGCACTGCCACGGCCGTGCGAACATCCTCTCCCCGTGTCCGCCACCAAAGCCGGAGCGGCTGCGGCCCCGTTGTTCACACACACCTGAATTGGTGTTTGTTCCTGCTGGGAGTTACTGGTTATGGTTCTGGTGTAAAGGGGTGCAGTGCAGGCTGGCCGTGTAAACACTACACCACGTGTGGCTGGAAGGGGCCGGTTCCTGGGTCTGGAGGCAACTGCATGTGATCCAGAGAGAAATTACAAAGGTTCATTTTAAAAGTAGGTTTCGCTGTGTCCACTGATTGCCTCGGGAAGGTGTTCCAGAATCACGTCTTATTGCTGGAAAGAAACCTGGTTCTTATTTCCAGCCTAACCGTGCTAACGCTCCCCTTGTCTGCCAGCGCGTGCCAGGAGATAAACGCGTGGGTCAGAACTGAAAGCCCATGGGTTCTTTTTGCATCACTTACATCGTCTTCCTGAGAACTAAAAAAGTAAAACAGGCTTGAAATGAAAACAAACGCACCAAGTGCAAAGTGTAACTCACAACTGGGGAGTCACTGGTCGCGCTGCAATGGCACTTCTGTTACCGCCGGAGAGCAGATTGCTCAGGTCTTTCACCAGGATTTTAGGGAGCCTCTGGTGTGAGGAGGGAGTAACTGGGAGCTGGTTGCTGTCGGCTTTTCAGACTGGCTCTGGGCAGCCTCCTGGCAGCTGAGCTCTGGATGGCCCGAGGCCCGGGGCTGCTTACGAGCCCTGGGTACCCCGTGCTCAAGAGACTCGGTCGCGTTGTTGTGCACGTGCAGGACCCGGACTCGCTCGGGATCCGTTGTGCTCCTTCCCGATCAGCTGCAGCGTACAATGAACGAGCGCTCCGGCCCTAACAGCTGTCTCGTTTTCATTCCTGTTTGTAGCTTGGCGCCTTGGAGGAGAGAGGATGGCTCAGGAGACGAACCAAACCCAGGTGCCTCTGTTGTGTACCACAGGCTGTGGATTTTACGGCAGCCCCCGGACCAACGGGATGTGCTCCGTTTGCTATAAGGAGTTTCTACAGAGACAGCAGAGCAGTGACCGGATAAGCCCCCCAGGTAGAGGATTTTTGTCCATGAAATCTATCTTCAAAGAGTGCCTGGATGCAAACTACATTAAGCAACTGGGATAGAGCATGGTACCCTCCCGGAAAACTTGGGTCTAAACGAAATGGAAAAGATACAAGCCTCTAAATCAAATCGCTGAGCCTTTGAGAACTTCTGTTCCCTGTAAGGGGGTCCGTTGTTTTCATCCCAGTCCCAGGTGTTTGTGAAGCCCCATCCCAGTCAGCACCTTCCAGTAAACTGTAAAACTTCACTTGTGCTAACAGTGGCCCCCATCTTTAGCTATTACCTGCTCCTTGAGTTACATGTTGACTGCTGGGAACCACAACAGATCCCTGAAATGAGACTTGGTTTGGGAAGAATTTGGCCTTTTTGGTTTGCACGATTTTCTCATCTTAACAGGGCTGGCAATGAAAAGCAGTGAAATAAAGGTTTGTTTCTTGCATCTAAGCATAGTTGACATGTCACCGAGCTGCGAGGCAGCTGGGTGCACAGGAAGGATGCTCCTTCCCTCATTAGCAGGCTGCTCTTTTGCCGAGGGTTGTGCAGGTGCCTCATGTACAGGCTTTGCAATCCCAGTGAGAAACGCCTTCTAGAGGTCTTCTGCAGTTTTGTTCCTGGATGCAGTAATGGCTTTCCTTGAATCACCCACCCAAAATACGAGTTGGGAACACAGCTCTTCCTGACAAAGGGTTTTTCTAAAGACCCTGACTTAGGTCCCCGGCCAACATAAACTGACATGTTTCTGTTGGAGCCAGTTTTGCAGGTGGATCTGGTTCTGGTACCTCGAAGAAGTTGCAAAGTGACATTGGATTCAAGGTGTGTTGGTAACTGATAGGATAATGTTTACGTTGATGTGGAGTTTGCTTTGCAATGCTGGGGAAAAGAAGGGGAATCAGGGCATAACAGAGGTGTTGTGGGTGATTGAAGTCAGATTTCACCAGATGTTAAAAACCACACAGTGATGGAAGGCGTTCAGCACGTAACTCCTGCGAATAAGCCCACATCCCTCAAAAGGGAGCTTGCAGATCCTGAGGAGCTGAACAGATCTCCATAAACGAGGCCTGCAGTCCTCAGGAAGATGAGCAGCTGATTTCAGAAGGATGTTACGATCCTGATACAAGGAGTCATTCTTGATCTAATGTAAGAACAGCTGCCCTGGGTCACGCTGAGGTCTGTCCAGCACTGATGTGTTGTCCCCACAGAGACCTATGCACAAATTTGGAGGGGAGAGTATAAGAATAGGGGATCTGGGAGTGATCCCAACTGGGGTGCACCCTCCCAGCTCCTGATGGGGAGCAGGAGGTTAAACCCTGCTGAAAGTGCTCATCCTGCTTTCTCCTTGGCTGTCAAGCCCCTGAGAAACTTGCTGACATTTTAAAGAGTTTACTAAGACTGTGGTCTTGTTTTGTAGCACCCGGTGGTCCCAGCAGCAGCCCCATGGCTTCAGATTCAGTTGCAGAGCAGCGTGCAGAGGAAGACTGCACACCTGAGGATGCAAATGCGAGGTACGGGCATGGCGTACAGGGGGGAGCGGATCTACAGCCGTGCTAAAAACCAGCCCTGGGACACAAGGGGTGGGCTCTCATCCTTCGTATAGACAAGGGGATTGGTAAAGCAGGCTGGGTCAAACGCTGTTCATTGTGACCCTGGTTTGTCTGGAAGACTGAGATGTCCCTGATGATGATGACTGATGCATAGAGTCAGGTACCAGAGGGTTGGTAGTAAATTAAAACCTGTAGTAAACTAAGCAGCATCCTGGTTCTCTTCGAGCCAGTGCACCTTGTCTGTCACTAGCTGTGTTAAACTATTTGGTTTCAGCTCAGTCCTAAGTGAAAGCACCTGGTGATGATCCAGTCTGGAAGCTGTGACAGCAGGATTAGGGACCTTCGTCACCTTGGAAAGGAAGGAAGATAGGAAAGCTGGAGAGGGACTTTTTACAAGGGCGTGTACTGACAGGACGAGAGGCAATGGATTTAAACTGAAAGAGGGCAGATTTCGATTAGATATAAGGAAGAAATTTTTTACATTGAGGGTGGCGAGGCAGTGGAACAGGTTGCCCAGAGAAGTTGTGGCTGCCCCATCCCTGGAAGTGTTCAAGGCCAGGTTAGATGAGGCTTTGGGCAACCTGGTGTAGTGGAGGATTTCTCTGCCCATGGCAGGGGGGTTGGAACTAGATGATCTTTAAGGTCCCTTCCAACCCAAACCATTCTATGATTCTATAGTACTGCATTGAGCTCTACCATTGCATCACGGCCCTGACTCATAACTCTGTTTCCCTGTCCCTGGACTTGTTTGGATGGGCTGTTGCCTTGGCTTTGAAATATAACTGGGTGGAAAAGGAAACAGATCGTTACAGATTCATTCCATTTGTGTCTATGAAGAACTTTGATCTCAAATCTCAAGGAGAATTGGCCTGCTGTACTCCTGAGCTACCTCTGAGTATAATGACATTAACTTCATGGGCTGAAGATCTCTCCCACATATCTGTTCATCAAAACAAAATACTGGTGTTTGCTTTATGATTGGTTTGTTTGTTTGTTGCAAATGCTCCCAGTGCTCAGACTCCTGTGACCCATCAGATGACAGCCATGAGCATATCCAGAGAAGAAAACAACAGTGAAAAAGAAGAACTCGTCAAGACAGAAGAAGTCTCGTCAGCGTCTTCCTCATCAGGTAGATGGTTTGGCCTTTGCACGAGTCTGAATGACACCGATCTTGCAAGTCAGTTTGAGCAACAAATACAATACTGGCCGGTAACTCCAGGGGACAGTTGTCACCTCCTGGCAGTGAAGGTACACCTGGCAGGAGAGCTAAGGAGAAAACAGTTTGTCTCTTTCTGAAACAGGGAGGAGAGGAAACGCTGTGCCCAAGGGCAGGCCGATAGAGATTGCTTTGTGGGCTGAGGGCTGAGTAGCTGCCAGCCCTCGACTCGCTGGCAGGAGGATAATCTTCCATGATGCCTATCCTAGTGAATGGCAGAGAGCCCGGAGCGTCCCACAGCCTGCTGCGCGGCTGTTGTTGGCTCCAGTTCCCTGCCATCTCTTGAGGGAGGGAAGGAGATGCATCCAGTGCAGCCTTGAAAGAGAGGAGACATGTTTGGGATGGTGCCCAAGGGAAGCTGCTGGCCTGGTTGATGTCATCCCGTGTGACGGGAGGCATACCTGCCCCTCGGAGGGGAGCGTCAATGCTGTCGCTGTTTGCAAAGTGGGGACCTTGAAGTGGTGGAGGAGCACGGGTGTCGTTGCCCAGCGGGGTATGTCCTCCAGTCGAGGAGTTACAGGGTGAGCCATTGTGTTGCAGCGGAGCCATAGCCAAGTGACACGGCATTGGAGACACTCTCCTTTGGTTCAACGGACAGTTTGTTTGCATTCAAAGGTAAAAAAAACCCAAGAGTTGTTGGTTGCTAAAAAAAAAAACAGGCGCTAGTCATTGCACATGACTGTGCATTTGGATTTGGAAATCCCTTGCCTGCAAACCCAGGAGACAATTTACAACAGGCAGGTGAGAGGCTTTTCGGTGAAACAGAGGCTTAGAAGAGACTGCTCCTTTCTTCTCATTGTGGGATTTTTAGAAAGTTGTTCAGGGTCAGATCCACAAAGCTTCCTCTGCCTCCTTAGTCTCCTTAGCCTGATTTTTTGAGTGGCCTGCACTGCAGGTGTGTGTCTGCTAGCAGCTGGAGCTGCTCCCTCCTGTTGACTTCTCTAACCTGCTTAGGTACTGGAGGAAATCCTGCTAAGCATCAGTGACCTTTAACAATCTGGCTTTCAGAGCTCAGTTTTCCTTTTGGTAGATTAGAGACAGTGATGACTATCTGTGTAAAGCATCCTGAGACCTACATACAAGGAACACTTACATAAGAGTTAGCAAAAATAATTAGTAGTACTTACAAGGGGTTAACTCTTTTTTTTTTTTTTTTTCCCCTTGCAAAGATTAGCTCTAGGCTCAGCTGTGCAGTTGAGTTACTGTACCTCAGCTAAGCTGTGGTGAGGATCCAGATGCGTGCTTACCTACGGCAAGCACCAGGTAGTTCTGCTTAGCGTTACCTTTTCTCAGCAGGAGCTAAACAGTGTCATGGTCACCTCACGTATGCCTTAGCCAAACCGAAATATCTCCTTGGTGTTTCTGAGCCTTGGACTTAAAACACGGAGAAAACGTGAGGCTGTGTGCGGTGTACGTCTCTGTAGAACGAGCCAAATCTCACGGTTTGGGGTCTGTCAGCCAGATCAGCGTGCACACAGAGGGGTCTGGCACAGACCTGGAATCGGTAGGGCCTCAAGCAGCTCCTGTAACAAACCAGATGTGTTGCTTGGTTTATCAAGAAGAGTAACAAAATTCTTGCCTCTGTTTCAGATACTGTGCTCGAAATATCCCAGAACACGGCTGAGGGCAAGACAGCTTCAGAAAAACCGAAACAGAAGAAGAATCGTTGCTTCACCTGCCGGAAGAAGATCGGGCTGACTGGTGAGACCCTGGCTGTGGGGAAAACTTGCCTGTGGCCTAAGTAGTCTGGTTTCGTAGCCCCGTGAACAGATCTGCGATACTGCCCAGGTTCAGAGGGTTGGCATGGGTCAGCGGTGGGAGGTACGCCTCCAAAAAGTACCTTATATCTATAGGATGTGGTGCTGGGTGGGAGGGGAGCTCTGAGCTGTCCTGGGGGATCTGCCGCTCGCTGTCAGGGTTCCTGCCAGCCCTTGGATGCAGGATTGCTGAACTGCATGGAGCAGTGCCTTGAGTTATTTCTGCCTCCTGGCAAAAGCTGTGGATCGCTGTGGATCTAATTCTGCTCCTCTTCAAGTCAGTGGTAAAGCTTTCATAATACTGACATGAACTGAGTTAGACCCAAACTGAAAATCCCACTCCAAGGCTCATCCCTTTTGTTAATGTTGCTTGACTTCTGCCGTTAGCTTCCCGAGAGCAGGATGGCTCTCGGCGTTCAGCCTGTAAAGCTGAAAAGAGAGAGGTGCTGAGATGGTGTCAGGTGACTGGTATCAATGGGAAAACTGCCCCTGGGAAGTGAAGCAATTAACTTGGCTGTGGTTTGTTAATAAAAACATCATTCCCCTAAATTGACTCTGGCATTTAGTGTTTCCCTGGAAAAAGTTAACTCTAGAGCTGTGCAGGTCACACTGTTCTAGCGGAGCGCTCGCCTCTTCAGCGTCCTCGGCGCACCCGGCAGCCAGGGACTGCACACACACTTCTCCTTTCATCGACGTAAGCTGCTTTGGCAGAGCCCGGGCAAACCAGGAGGCTTGCCCAGTGCCTGGCACTGTGGAGCTCAAGCTTGCCTGGAGATTTGAGGGTGCTGTCATAGAATAAATGTGAGTTTATAAGCCTGAGACTGGGCACAGGGTACTCTGTGCCCAGCCTTCAGATCTGCAGGGAGGATTGTTTTCCTGGATGAAGGTTTCCTTAAAAGCTTCAAACTGTGAGAAGTTTCCTCTCCTTTAGGAGTGAAGTTGCAGAGAACTCCTGTGAATTCAGGGCATTTAGGATAAAATGAGTTTTCTCAAATAGAAGTAAACTAGCACCTAGGGCCTCGTAGCAAGGTGTTTGTGGTCTTTACATCCTGTGGTTGGAAAGATGTGAAAGTAGAGGGTGTGAGTCGCTGCCAGTGCGACAGGGAGCTGGTCTGCTACCCTGCAGCAAACCCCTCCTTGTTCCATGCCTCAGTTTCCCAGTGTGCTGTGATAATGGTAGCGCTTCTGAACAGCATTGTCTCCAAGTGAGGTGACTAAATTACGAATTTTGAAGCCTAAATAGCTCAAAAATGATTCTAATGAGGTGAAGGTTTTGCTGCTTGCTGGCATACTGCTGGTCAGCCCAGATGCTGCTGTGTGACGCCCGGGGAGCCAGCCTGGCTCGGAGGGCTGGGCTCCAGCTCAGGCTGCCTGCTTGCTGCCTGGGGAGCCTGGTCTGGATTAGCAATCTGGCACTCTGTAGTCTCTGGTATGTCCCTTGTCCCCAGGGAGCGTGAGAGCAGCTGCTCTGGGAGCGTTTCCCACCGCCGTGACAGCTGGGGCTGCCCAGAGCACGCGTGTGCTCCCGGGAGCGGCTCAGCCAGGGACAGTAGCCCCCCTCCCTCATCTGACCCTCTTTTGGCATTAGTGGAGTTTCCTGGCCTGGCAGGAAAGAGCAGGGGCCCTGCCACCTTCCCGTCCAGCCAGACAGGGACTAAGGTGGCTTTGTCTCTCTGCTCTTCCTCCCTTCAGGCTTTGACTGCCGCTGCGGGAACCTGTTCTGTGCCATCCACCGGTACTCCGACATGCATGCCTGCCCCTACGACTACAAGGCAGAAGCTGCCGAGAAGATCCGTAAGGAGAACCCCATCGTTATTGCTGAGAAGATCCAGAAGTTGTGAAGGGGGTTGAGCAGCTCGAACTGCAGCCAGGTCGCCTGGTGCTCCTCCCCTTCCTCCCAGCCTTCCTCCTCTTCCTCCCCGCCCCATCGGTGGTGCGATGGGGACTCCAGCAGCACACACGAACCAGCACCTGGACATGGAGACTCCTTGCACCTCTTTGGCAGACAGCTGCTGTTCCTCCTCTCCCTTCCTGCCCATCCGACAGCCACAGCTCAGCTGATCCGTTCTCTAGCAGCTTCCCAAAGGAAAAGAGACCGTCTTGCCCCACTGCTCCAGTGCTAAGACCTTTGGACTCGTCTTCTGCCAGGGGTTTGCGGGCTCTGTCAGGCAGCCTTTCCCTTTGGCCAGCAGCTCTGAGTCCTGTGGACGACCCGGGACTTGCGGCTGGAGCCCATGAGCTGCTCCTGGACCTCATTCCCTCTGCCCTTCCATCTCTTTGTGGCAGATGTAAAACTGGGAGCTGGGGAATCCCGGCAGCAAGGGTGCTCTCTGCTCCCCGAGAGGTGTTTGGTCTCGGATGCAGAAGAGAGGATTCTGTAGTTTTAATGCCTCACATCCCCTCCCCTCCCTTCGAGACGCTGTTGTTGAAGCACCGGGATAGTTACGCAGCAGAGTACTGGCACAGTAAAGTTATTTTGTGGCTTGAAGTGACGTAGACACGATCCAGCTGCAGGTCAGGACCTTTAGGACGGTACCACTCGCTGTCTCATGCCCCTCGCCGCAGGGAGGGAGCCCGCCTGCCGGGCTTGCTCTGTCCAGGGACGTGGCTGGGTGGCGGGACACCCTTGAGTCAGCCTCCCGTGCTCCACTGCTCCCAGTAACCACTGGCTGCTTCCCAAGTGAGGTTTGTTGCAACATTCTCCTCTCCCGTGCGCTCCCTGCCTTCTGCCTTACACGGTTCTTTCTCATCAGGGCTGTGCACGGAGCTCAGATGGCCAAACCTCCACGTCCTTTCCTGTCCCTGCACCCAGGCGGCTGGTGAGGACCCTTCCCTGTTGACCTCACTGGTGGTCAGTGAGAACCTTTCTCCTCTGTGAGCACGTTGGCTCGGGAAGCCCACCCAGCTGCCCTGCTCACCCACCTTGCTGCTGGTGTCCATGGGACAAGAGGCAGGGCCAGATCCCCAGGAGGTGCTCCGAAAGCTGGACGGAGGGATCTGGGACATGGCGAAAGACATGTGGAGGGCTGCAGGGCACGTGAAAAGTCACGAGGGTCCTGGGGTGGCCAGAAGCGCAGGTGGGGGCTTTCAGAAAAGCCCACGGAGAGCCCTGGGGAGCAGGGAGAGGCACTTGGAGGGCTCTGGGCCCAATGAAAGATTCGTCAAGGTCTCAGGGGTGCTGGAAGTCTCAGGGAGGGCTGCAGGGTGCAAGGGAAGGCAAAAGGAGAGCTGTGGGTTACACCTGGAAGCACGCAGAGGACTCGAGCGCTCCAAAAGGCACTCGGAGTGCTCTGCGGATGGCTCTGGGGTGCAGGGAAAGTCAAATGCCGGGCTCTGTAGCACTCACAAAAAAAAACGTGGGGGGCTCTGGAGCTGTTAGAAGGGAAAGTGGGGCTCAGGTACATGGTGCAGGGCAGGTGGAGGCTCCTGGGGCGCCCTGCAAGCCGCCTCTGCACCACGC